GCAGCCTGATTCACAGTCCACTGAAGACAACAGAAGTCCAATCCATGCTGTTCAGCGGGGTCTGGATTATCCCTCATATTATTGCTGTTTGGATCTTGTCATTCTGCTCCAGCAAAACTGCCCTGGGAATTGGCAGGAAAGCTGTCTGCAGTAAAGACAACAGGATCTGGATTCAGGAAAGCATCTTCCTTTCCTCAGCTAGCAGTGTCCCCACACTATTTTGAGGCAACTGCCATCAGCACTAACAAGAAAAGAAGATACCCAAGTCAGTGAGCTGCCTAGCAATAAACCTGACTGCACTTTGTGTTTGTTTCTAATGACATAGTTTCTGCTACTAATGCAACTGTTTCTCTGACCTTTCCTTCTAAGCAGAGGTTTCACTGAACCAGGATTTCAATTTGCTGTACATAAGGCTTACACAATGGCCAGCTTTCATTTTACTTTGCTATGAGCAGTGGGCAAGTCACAAGACCAGAGTTTGCCATCGTGGGTAGCCTCTGAATGTGGATAGGCATGAAGCAAGGCCAGCACAAGAAGCAGCATTCTGGGCAGCAGGTAAAGAAAAAGGCGTTATTGTCTGAGAGCAGGGAGAGCAACACCCACATAAGTGAACTGCCACAGTGAACAGTGCTGTATGCTTCACAAATTATTCACCCTTCTAACAAAATAGTGAAAAGCTTACAAATGAAAACAGTCTCCACAGACACAGCAGCACTCCATGAGGCACTCTGAAAATCAGTTCTACTCAGGAGAGTGGAAAACGTGAACACACATCATTCCAATTTTTGCTCAATCCCACTAGTGCTATTGGGTTCAGTATTTAGTACTATAATTAGTAAATCCCACTGATTCCCCACAAGAAGGCTGTCTGAATGATACTGCTTAGAGATCTGGAGCAGCATGAAGGGGAGCAAACGATTTTGTTCTTCAGGAATTCCCCTACCTTATACATCGCACCTGAGCATCTATTTCTTTTGGTGCCACAGAATCTCCCCAGGTTCCCAAGCAGACAGGGGTCTCTGGCAGAGGAAGCAAATGAAAACACGGATCTGTTTGCAGACATGTATTACAAGTAAGGGAGAACAGTGAACAGAAGAAATCTAAAATCCGAAGTTGGGACTGTTACTGAGTGGAACATTTTTCACTGTTTTCAAGAAGGCAGTAGCTTCTCTTTTGTGTGAAGAAGTTAATAGATTACTGGGTAGTGAATAATGTGCAGTTCTATTTACATCCACTGTTTGGACTATTTTGGGCCTTCAGATAGTGTATCTGTTCTCAGGCCTTTCTAATAGCAGCATGCTATACTTTTTTGCAAGCAATTCTGGATAGAAGCTACAACCAATATGCTTCAGTCAGCTAAAAACTAGATAGGTCATTGTTTGTCTGGAATTTTTTTATTAAACCAATTCTAGTGGATCAATGCTTCCTCTAAGCACTAAATTACAATTCTATCTACCCACAGAAAAAGCTTTCAAAGTCACAGATAAATCTTGATCTAGGAAATACAGTTTGACTCTGCACTGATGTGTGATCAACCACAGATGCAAATAAAGTCAAGCTGCCAGCACATACATCTGCACTTCAGAATAGGAAGCAGTATTCTTATTTCCACTACAAATTGCTAAGACACCTTTGAAGTGCTTCTAGAACTAGTCCACTGCATTAGTCATGACTACTCAGGGGCACAGAGTTTGGTTTTTGTAAAGGTCATTTGGTGTCTTTTCCCCTCACAATGGACTAAAAGCAGAACTCAGCAGAGCCTTGATCTATACTAATTCGCTTTACTCTTGAAGGGTCATAGATTTGCTACTGGAATTAGCCATATTAGATGCTAAAATGATAATTTAATGAGACTATGATGAAAGCCTCTGTTCTATTCTAAAACAGGAACTCCTTTCATGCAGTGCAAAGGAGAAGCAACTCCATGAAGTCAGAGGAATTACACCAATGTCATTTTGCAGCAGAATCAAGCTCCGGTAAATAAGGCTGGAGTGTTTCATTCAACACTTCACATCTCAAGCTGTACCAAGACAGGAGTCATGAGGTCTGGGGCTCTACCGAAATGCCTGGAGATGCACCACACTCTCAGAGGTGAATCTGGTTTCTCCAAAAAGACCGAAAACAAGATCTGGGTCTAAAAATTTATTAACTTGAAACTTGTGCACCAAATGCTGCTGCACAGCTTTGGTGACAGCAAAGTGCAGGATAATGGAGGCTCATACTTCTTACAAGATGCTAATGCTCCAGAATCTGCACCCATTTATAACAAGGAACAATCATGCATTGCACTGCATAATTTGCAAAGCAGAAAAGAGAGTCCTTTGGGTCAAGGATATAGCTCTTGCAAACATTTTGATAATATCTGCTCTTTGGTGCAATCTGCTGCATTTCAGAGGTCAAAAAATGTTATTCGTATTCATATGAGTTGTTTCCAAGACAGATGCTTTAGTAGCATTCAGAGAAGGAGGGAAATCAAAACCCACACAGAATCCGGGAAAGCTCCCACTCTTCTCCATCAAGGAAGCCATTGTTCATTGGTTGTTTTTCATGGAAGCCCACGCGTTTTCTCTAAGTGGCAGTCATATTCAAACAGATACGGTGCAAGTGACCAAGAAAGAGGGGTGAACAAAGCTCCCCAGAAAACAGACATACTGACCATACAGTAGTGCATCCAACTCCTCTGGCCTCTTCACATGTCTCTCTGTACAATCAGTACCACTGCCCCATCTGATGTTGATATATAATAGTAGGAAGAAAGCACCTATTTGTGTGCTAGGCTTCTAGCATCAATTTAGAAGAAAGTGGCAAGATACCAGCCTACCTGGAACCTGACACCAAGCAGAGAGTGTCTTGCACCAGGGTACAGATATCCAACTCCCTGTGCTTCCTCTGCACAAATGCAAAGCTACAGTCAGGGAGGATCTTATTATTAGTACTAACGAGTCACACATGCATTCACATATATCTGCATGCATATGAACATCTGAGTATTAGCAGACTCCGTGTGATCATCTGGCTTGGGAGAATCTAAGTTTGCTGGCATATTTCATTCCTTTGTGTAAGGCTATGAGTGGCCCTACAGCCAAGTACCTCAGAAATAAAAACTTCAACTCATAGTTTACTGTGGATGGCAGTAATGAATTATTAAGCAATAAGCACTGGTTCACTAGGAATCTTAAAAAAATAAACTCTTAGGACCATTTCACATTGGGCAAGGTGGTTACCTCAGCTATTGCTACAGTCCTTTCACTCAAGTTTGCCAGTCTAATTCTATGCTGAAAATGTAGTCACAAATATGGAAGGAAATAAATCCACTATACAGGTACATAAAAGATATGCAAACTGAATGCTACTCCAAATACAGTCCATAAACTAAATCCAAAATTCCTTAAAGGTGCGACACACAGACAACACCTTGCTAGAATAACCCAAGAAAGCACAGTAGCTAGTTTTTAACTCCAGACTTGTGGCAAATACTACAAAGATGTCTAGCCAGGAGTATGAAATAGGTTTTGATCTTTTTAAAGCTAATCACTCTCACATTTCACTGTGTTTGTGAGGTGTTACTTGATCAGTCACAACTAGGAGGCAATTTTATACTCTTTCCACTCTCAGTTTGAATAAGATTGTACCTGCCAGCACTATGTATCATGATGTAGCTACTGAAAACCTTCCTATGCTCGGTCAGCTGTGCACTTGGGACACTTCAATGCACTGAATTTAAACAACAGTGCAGTCTTCCAATTCACGTAGCCTTCTAATAACATTTGTTAATCTAAGCAGATATCAAGGAATCTGTTCAGTGCCAGTGCTGAATCTTCTAAGTGTGTGGACTGCTTGCAAAATTCCTAAAAGGCAGCGTCGAGAGGTTTCTGTCATTTCTGTCTTTGGGCACCCAAATCCACCCTGGAACTCCTTCCTGCAATTATCTTGCTAATTGTATTTTAGGGAATAATGCAAGGTTTCTTGAAAAGTCCAAGAATTCAGTAAAATCATGTAGTCTGATCAATACGTGTTTGAACAATGTTCTTCTACTGTATGCTTTTAAATGTGAGATGTAAGCCAGTTGTAATTAAAGTTGAAGCAATAAACCTTAGCCATTGATTGCACTAAGTAATTAATTATTGATTGCAGTACTTTACATACATATTGCAGAGGACAATTCACCTGTGCAGTAAACAACACTTTACTCAGAAATATCCAAACACAACCCCTCTGCTACACAGAACTATACAAAAAATTGGCTCTAGGGTTTACAAGCTAATTTCCTTATTAACCTTCATGGAAATGTTGCTGTCTGAGTGAAAGAAAGCCATTACTTTCATGAAGACAATGTTAACTATTCCCTATCCAAATTAATTTTGCAAATAAGGATTTGCAGATGCAAAAGAGAAAATCTTTCTCTGCAAGACTCTGAAGGTGTTAAGTTCCTTCTCAATGAAGGTTGCTATCTGCTGCACATACCAATTGCCGATGCTGCAGTAAGAAGCCCTACAGAACAGCAACAGTAGCAACATCCTTCCCTAACTCTTGGGGAAGGAGAAGGGAGAGGACTTTGAGGTACGCAAATGGCAACTGAAACATTAAACAGGCAGATCATACATTCTGAACTGGAGATGTAGGACTAGTTAAGCAGCAGGCACCACACGTTTAGCCTAGAGTTGTGCATCAGGTGGGAATATTTTTCCCCATTTACACTGAACTTATGGGGAGGCTTTCCCTTATAAAAAGCCAAAGCGAAAGACAGTTGTTGGTTTAAAAACCTAATTTAAAATTAATAATGGTGTGGGGACACTAAAATTAAGCTTAAATATAAATGAAACCTGCAGATTGTTTGACTGGAGCAGATCTCGGATGTGTCCTCCAGCTCCTCTGACTAGCAAATTAGCCAGGAAAGTTCTGTCTGGGTGTGTGCGCTGTGTGGAGAGGTCTGAGCTGGACATGGTAGGGGAAGGGGCAGGCCAGCTACTTTTGAGTGGGCCAGGAGGGGGGTATTGTACCTGAAGTCGCTGTAGGGATGGATGATCCAGAACCCGGCAGACTTAACCCTTTCCTGCTCCCTCTCCACGGCCTTCTGGCTGCCAAACATCCTCAAGGAGAATTTGTTGACGCCTGGCTGGAGCATGGCCCCGAACTGCCTCTGCATGAAACCGGCTTGGCCCAGCCTCTGCTCCTCATCTGGGGTGATCTGGTCGCACCCTCCACCTCCTTCCACTTTGATGGAGGTAGAGGAGCAAGCCCGGGGGGACTGCTGCTGGGGGTCCGGGGGGGCTGCTGGTGGGGGGGGCGCTGGCAGTCCCTGCTCCAGCTCCCCTCTGCCGAGGGGGCTCTTGTCCTCACTGGGGGAGGCCGGCTCCC